GTTACTCACCACCACCCCATAGGCCTATATGAAGCCTAACTACTTTAGACGAATTTAGACACACTAATAGACTTTTATAACAAAATAGGAAGCTATGGAACCAACTAACCACGGCTGGCATTGTTTCCTATTAAACAACACTCTCTGGTAAGAACTGAACACTGAATCGAGTAGTGTGTTATCTAGTAGGTGCCAGACACAGCTTCAATAGGTGTTGTTCGGATCCCTGCTTTATAGAAGACTGAAAGTCGTAGACGTTAAATCACTTAGTTCTTGGCTCATTAGCCAGGAAGCCAGGCATGAAACCCAGACCTGATTGATGCTTTTAATTATCAGATTTCACATAAAAAATAAAAAGACTAAAACAGCCAGGCAGTGGTGGCGCACACCTTTGACCCCAGCACTTGGGAGGCAGAAGCAGGCAGGTCTCTGTGAGTTCGAGGCCAGCCTGGTCTACAAAGTGAGTTCCGGGACAGGACTGTTACACAGAGAAACCCTGTCTCAAAACAAAAACAAAAAAAACCACCAACAACAAAAAGACAAAAACTACAAAACTCTAGTAGAAAAAGAAAAATTGCTAATGCTTTAAATTATCTTAGTTGGGAACTAGACACAAGCAATCTAGACACAAGGCTTTTCATACATTTAATTAAGCTCTTCTGGGGGCAGACCCTGGGAAAGCCAGTGAGCATGTGAGGCAGTAGACAGAGGATCCGCTAACAAAGAGTGGATTAGTGAATTCATTGCTGTTGCGTTCAGTTGTCGGGGAAGTCTGGTGGTGATTGTGTAGAACACACAGTAGAACTGACCTGCTAGGAGTCGGCAGTCAGGCGTTTACCAATAGTTGTTGACTGTAGTTTATATAGATGCTCACGTACTGGGACTTCTGGTGTGCAACACCCTTGGACTGAGAAGGAGCCATGGGTGCTTCAGGAAGGAAACCCTTAGTGTGTTTGGGAGCCATCCAGTCCAGTTACAGGTGCCCTACCAGTAGGTCCCGGGAGATATGGATAGGCACTGGAAAACTCTGCTGTGAGATGTGAATTCATTCAAAGCAACAACTACAATCTTTATTAGATAAGGATAATTTATTCCTAATAAATAAACAGGTTTCTGTGAAATTATGTCATAGAAGTTTTTAGTATTTAAGTTCCCAGACTGAGGAACGGTTAGAACATTAACAAAGCAAACTGAAACACTCACACCCACTAGCACACTGGGATCAATTATAGATTATTGTATTAAATGACAACCTTAGTGAGGCCAGCTCAGCATCTTCTGGAGAGCCACCAACCCTTGTCAAAAAGTCACTTCTGCCCACTGCTGTTCCTCATGCTGAGAACAGCTTGTGTATGACATGACGGATATCCCTGCAGATTTAAAGGCTGCATATAGCTCTTCTAGGAGACACTTCTTTGTCCTTTCAAAGTGTCCCAGTGACTTTTTGAAATGATTTCCATAAGTATTCTTGTGACCTAACTAACACACACACACACCAATCACATTTTGCAAATGTGGTACCAAAAAAAAAATCTGTTCAGCCCTTTTTTTCATGATGTAGCATTGAATACACAGAGAGTCCATTTTATTTACAGAGACCCCCCATTTTATTTTGATAGGTAGCAAGGTGTAGTTCAGAAGTGAAATAACCCAGTGTAGTGAACAGCCAAACTTCAATTTCCCCGAGGGAAAGCGCTCTGAGCTATTTTAAGATTTCACAACCTCCCCCTCAATCGCGCGACTCTAGTTTTCAATTGATTTAAATCCCAGTTGCTTTTCAACGTTTTCCACACACTCTTGGTCGCAGAGGAAGGAGAGGGCTAAGTCAATTCCTTTTAATTTTTGGATGCCGTTTGCAACGTGCTTCTAGATGGCGAGTTCTACAGAGGATTAGGGATTGCCAACTGAAGAATAAAGCACTTGTGGCGGAGCAAATGAGAATTTATTACAGAATTCTTAGAACCATCTTCCAGAAATGTGGAGAGAGGCAGAAAAGAGGTTATTGAGGGGGAACGGGCTAGGAGAGAGAAGCCGGTTCATTATAATAGAGTTGACCTGAGGGCTCTCCTAGAGATATCCAATTAAATTCATAGCCTAGGCTAAAAGATCCCTTAGATTTTTAGCTTTGAGTTTATTTCCTATAAATACCTCAGCCTCTAAGTTTATTTAGTAGAGGCTGCAGTTATTACCTCATAAAAAGAACGCACCCCACATTTATCTCCTTAAGGAAAGAACTTGGTATTAAATCAGAGGTGGGGCTTACCGGACTGAAACCCCCAGTGTGGAAGGTTGGAGGCCGTGCTTGAAGATGGAAGTGTACACTCACTCTACAGGCTTCAAGCCTTCTAATATGATCCCAACTTGTCTTTGATGTGATTTTTATTTAATAGGTAGTTGTCAGCACAGCATTTTCTTGAAGTCTATGAAAGTGCCCAAAAGACAATGAGTATGAGTAATAAATCCATTGGGAACAAAAAGTGAAGACATTTTCTTTCAAACCATCTCATTCTACTCGCTGGCCCCCAAAGGCTTGTAGCCATATCATAATGCAAAAAAAATGCATTCAGTCCAAAGTCTCTTCTGAGAATCATGGCAATCTATTAACTGTAATCCCCTGTAAAATTAAAATAAAAAAGCAGGTCACATACTTCCAACATATAATGGCATAGGGTATGCATTATCATTCCAAAACACAGGGAAGGGAGCATAGTAAGGAAATACTAGACCAAAGCAAGTCCAAAAACCAGCTGGGAAAACCCTAACTCTGCATCTCCATGTCTGATGCCAAAGCTCCATCAGATCTCCAACTCCGTTCAGCTTTGTTGACCACAACACACTTCTCTCTCTTGGTCTGGTTCCACTCCCTGTTAGCAGCTCTCCTCAGCAGGTGTCCATGACTCTGGCATCTTAACATCTTAGGGTCTCCAGGCTTCAACTTCATAGCTTCACTCAATGGCCTCTTTTCTAGTTCTTCATGCAGGGACTCCCCTGACACATGCACGGCCTCAGTGGCTTTCCTTAGGCATCGAGGAAAATTCCATAACCTGCTTCTTCTATCAAAGAGAGACAAAGCTGGCTGTGGAGGAAGCGGCAGCGGAGAGGTGGTGGGTTTACCTTCTTGTCATGCTTTAATAATGCCATAAGTCAGACACCAGATGTTTACCTAAATTGTGCTAGCATTAATAAAATCTCGAGAGTCAGGAGTTGGGATAAAAACCTGATAAATCCAAGGAACAGCAGAGGGTGGTTGGCTGACCCTATTCTCTACGTTTTCTTGTTCCAAAAGTCAGGGAAATCCCCCTCAGCCCCTCTTTCTTTCTGCCTGTCCCCACTCTACTGGTCTTTCTCAGTCCTCCAACTTCTCTATGGCTAATCCCAGCCAGCCAGCTGCTGACTTTGTCCCTTGATTCAAGCTGGCTATATTGGCACCTTGGAGTGGCAATGTGAACAATTCTCCCACAACAGCTTGCCGTGGCTGGAACATGGCCCCCTCGTGCAATTATACCTTTCTGGTTTTGATTGTTACCTTCTTTGCCTAAGCTTGGCTGTCTTTGATCTTGCTCTGCAGATCACTCCACCTTGTAGTTTTAGAGTATAAACTGAGAAGAGATGGACATCTCCTCTCTTCTACTCTGTCTTCGTTAGGTTTTCTATTTCTGTGACCGAACACCATGACCAAAAAGCACGTTAGGGACAAAAGGGTTTATTTGGCTTTCACTTCAGTATTGCTGTTCATATTGAAGGGAGGCAGGACAGGAACTCACATAGGGCAGGATCCTGGAGGCAGGTGCTGTTTACCGGCTTGCTCAAACTGCTTTCTTACAGACCCCTGGACCACCAGCCCAGGGAAGACCCCACCCACCACAGGCTGGGCCCTCCCCCATGGATCACTAATTGAGAAAATGCCTTACAGGTGGATCTCATGGAGGCATTTCCTCAACTGAGGCTCCTTCCTCTCTGATGACTCTAGTTTGTGTCAAGTTGATTGTGCACATTCTCACTGGTGTGGGTCAGTGCTTCTTCCAGAATGATCCCTGCAGTATTTCTGGAGCACCCCTTTTCTCCACTCAGCAAGATCCCCCTCACCAAGACTCCAGTTAGTCTAGAGACACGATTGCTCCTAGGCCTCTCAGCCCACTGGAGGTTCCTGGAACCCGGGAAACCTGTTCTCCTGCTCAGATTCTGGGGTTCCTTTCCAGTGGCCAAGGGGATTGTGAGACTCAGGGCTGGAGTCCCTGAATGGAAGAAGATGAAATTCAACTAGATGTTCAGACAAGGTAAGGACCCTTGGGGAAGAGCTGGTGAGCCTGGTCCCTGGGCAGGCAATTGCATCTAGAGTCTCAGTGGGATGTGAAGGTGATGCTGTTCTTCAAGAAAAAGTCTCTAAGGGACACTGAGGCAGTGACACTGGTTTCTGGAGACTAGGCTAGGCATTTAAAATGGGAATGTATAGCTTCTGAACGAGTGGTGAATGAGTGTGAGAATGCTTGCAATAGTCCCATGGCTCTGGGGATATAGGATCTGATAGGACCCAACTCTCTGAGGGCTTTCCATCTGAATGAGCACTCAGCTCCCAGAACAGGAGGTGACAGAGCATGGGGTTATGCTTGTGGCCCTAAGGTAAGACCTCTTAAATGTCTGTGAAACTGTGGGCCGGGCAGGTATCTGCTTGAGGGAGAAGTTGGTTATCTCCACTCCACCCTACACACTACAAGGTGTCAGGCATGTATAACTCAGCTCCCCACCCCCACCCCAGATCCCGATTAGGGAACTCTTCTCCTCATGGGGTCTGCACAGTCCTGATGTGCGTCCCCACACCGTCCCACCAAGACTGTTAATCCGGAAGACAACAAAGAAGCACATCCATTAACTATCCAGAGGATCAAAGTTTGCCCATGATTCAGCCCCCTACTGAGTCCAGTTGCCAACACCACACTGTATGCCCCTCGATCCTGTTGCTTCAGAGGCATCTGCCCTATACAGTGCTCCCCGGCCTCTACAGGGGACCAGCTCACCAGACTCTTTGTCTACGTTGCAGGAACGAGCCCATTCCAGTGTGTTCCCTGAGCGAAATGCCAGGCCCTCCTCTCATCTAAGAAGATGACAGGTATGTTATTCAGCCACGCACATGCCTGAAGAGGAGGGAAAGCCCACTCATGCTTGTGGATGAATTAGAAAAGAGATTTTCTACTCATGGCTGGTCTTAAATGACAAGACCCAATTTAGGTATACAACCTTTCACTGATGGGGGTGACACCTACAACAGGAGGAATAGCTCCTCATAGCAAGAGACTCAAAACAAAAACAGACCGAGAAAGAGAGTGCTTACCTCAGAGGACAAAGAAATTAAAGTAGAAGCCAGGTCCTCTGGCTCCTAGAAGCTGGCTGGGCCCATGGCCATGGCAGACTCACATAAAGCGTCAAGGTGGAGTGAGTTGGGGAAAGCAACTAGTAGACCAGACAGCCAAATCAGCTGCCCCCATGTGAAGACACAGCCCCGTACACCCCTCCATTACCTCCCAGAAGGCATGTTTATGACCAGGTGCTCCTGGATCTCAGGGCTTCAAAAAATCAGGAGGACTGTCTGATTACTACATATAGGAAAATAATAGTTCCTGAGATGACAGCTCCCAGCCTAGTCCAACAAGCTCAGGAAGCAACCCATCTAGAAAAACTGCCCTGTAAGAATTGTTCCAAAGGTATTTGGTGGTTCTGAGGCTGCCAACACTGACCCAACAAGCCAGCAAAGCATGTCTACAGCGTACTCAGAACAATCCAGGGAGGAGAACCCAAGGTTCCCACACTGACAGAAAAGAGCATCTAGAAGTGGACTTTCCTGACAGTCAACCCAGCAAAGGTACTGAGATTTGTTGTTTACATTGTGTACTTTGCAGTGTAGGTGGAACCTTTTCCTACCTGCTCAGAAGATCAGCGTGAACGCTGCACCCAGGAAACTGCCCCCAATCATCAAGCCTAGTTGTGAGAATGAATCGAACCTTTAAAATAGCAGTGGCCAAGCACTGCCAAGACACAGGCTCCTTGGCCAGAAATTCTGCCACTTGTAGTGTTTAGGGTGGATGTAGTCATTCCTCTTTCAAGGTCATGTCTGGCTGTCCACCTCCATTGCTCCCAAGGAACTCAGGGGACTTCTGAGAGTATGGACACACCTGCCTCTAGCAGCTCTTGAATGATTTGGCTGATGCTGCATGAAAAATTGCCCAATCCTCACCACTCCCTCCTGTCTTAAAGTTACTGGTGTCACCAGCTGTAACATGAGGGCCTGCTTGTTGGGGTTTCTGTCCTGCCTGATTCCCATAGTAACCAGGCCCCAAAGAAAATCACACAGAGGTCTTCGCAAGCTATAAACTTATTGGCCCATTAGCTCAGGCTTCTTATTAACTCTTGTAACTTATATTAGCCCATTATTCTTATCTATGTTAGCCACATGGCTCAGTACCTTTTTCAGCAGGGCAGGTCACATCCTGCTTCTTCCGTGTCTGGACAGGACTGGATAAAGAGCTTCCTTCTTCCCAGAATACTCCTGTTCTCATTGCCCCACCTCTACTTCCTGTCTGGTTTTCCCACCTATACTTCCTGCCTGGCTATTGGCCAATCAGCATTTATTTAAAGCATAATTGACAGAATACAGAATTGTCCCTCACCAACCAGCAGTTGTAGGTTACACAGCAACCACGTCAATGCTGCTGTGGACCCAAGCCAGGAGTCAACCATGAGAGTCCCAGACTCAACCAGCCTCTACACTGACCATCTCAAAAGTTACCTCAGATGGGAACAGTGGCTCAGCTGCTATTCTGCCTCCTATGTCTTCCCTGATTCCATGGGTGTGCATCTGGATCAGTTTCCACTCAGCCTCCTTGACCCAGGGCAACTCAATTCCTGGACCCCATCTATCTAGCTAACTGTTCCTCAGAGGGGTTCAGCCTTGTCTCCTTCAGGTGATGATGCCTTTTGAGACTAAGCCAGATCACAGATCATCCCTTGGATCTCATTGCGCTGTGGCAGAACTGGCCGGACAGGATAACAAACTGTCATTCTTTTTTGGAGATGGCCCAAGCTAGTAACAGCCTATGGGCAAGTGGTCAGAGGACAAAGGAATGATTGTGGGGAAACCTTTTGGTCTTACCTTAAACACTGGTCATGCATGGATTTCACCAGGAAAGGGGCCTAGAAGGGATCTCCCACAGAAGAACAAAGAGTTTAGGTCATAATAGATCTTAAAGGGGAAAATGTGGGAGGAATAACATGGGAACTGAAAAATCCTTCATGGCAAGAAGCCATGGCCTTGTGATAGGCTGGTCTGGCACAGGGGCAAGAGACCCCCAATAACACTACAGTTATGACACCACTGGTCAATGTGATGGTACCAATTAGCAGAGTTAACACCCTAAGTCCTTGGGGCCCAGGACAGGACAAAGGTAAACAAGACAAAGTCATCCAGATGGATCCTCATGTGCAACTTCTAGAAAATGCTGGCTTTAGTAAATGCCAGCCACAAGCTCCTTAACCCAGGTCAGGGCTGCAGGACGTGTTTACCTGCAAGTGGGGTTATTTATACTGGAGCAGACTGAATAACCAACACAGAAGGGGTGTGCTTAACTGGGCCACCTAGTGTTCAGGTCACAGGAAAAGCCAATGTACAAAAAATTAATGCTGTAAAATGGTGGCACACACCTTTAAACAGAAGGCAGAGGTAGGCGGATCTCTGTGAATTTGAGGCCAGCCTGGTCTATAGAGCGAGTTCCAGGACAGCCAGGGCTACCCAGAGAGACCCTGTCTCAGAAAAAAAAAAAACTAAACTAAACTAAAAGGGCTGTACCAGACTAGTTAAAAGAGCAGTAGCTGCTAATGGGACACAGTTCTCTTGCCTCAAGAGACAGCTAAAACCTGGTATTCTTGAGCCCCAATGTAGATGTGCCCCAGGAAGTGAGGTTCAACAATATTTACATCCCTTAGAATCAAGAAATAGTAATTTCTTCTATAAAGATTTTCAAATGAAAAAGAAGTTTTTAGATCAGGATCGATGGAGGCAATGCAGAAATAAAAGAGAGCAGGCAGGCATCTCTAGAAGTAGAACTGTTCTTTAATCAGAACAAATGAAGTCCCAGGTCTCCTTGCAGAAATGACACTGTGCGCATGTGGCATGGAAGGTCTTGGGGTTCCATAGGATGGGAAGCTGGAGCTTTGGGGATGGAAGAGTCCATCTGCAGGTCAGTTCCCCTGCAGTCTGTGGAGGTCCTTCCTATCTGAGGCTTGCAAGGGTGTTATCAGTCAAGCCAACTTTCCGGTCTGAGTTGCTCAGTCCCCCTGTGGCTTTTGTGCAATTAACTCTCCAGCCACGAGTCATGGTCTCTGGTACTCTTCCTTTCTCCGTCTAGATTAAATTTTCGTCTGATGATGTTCACCCGCTGGGGAAGAAGGACAGCTAGAATTGCTAGGGATGGGTTGGGTGCCTCTCTCCTTCTGTGCACTTGCTTCCTGTGGCAGCCCAGCTTCCTTACAGCCTGATCTTGCGAGAATGAACAGTTAGGTTTTCAGCTTGGAGATCCTAGGTATTTTCTCTTTCTTTTTTCTTTTAATTGTCCAGCTCTGGAAGTGATGCATCGTCCTCCAGCACTTATTATAAGTGGAAAATGGAGCTGCACAGACTGTCCAGACAACAAGGGCCACACAGAGGTCAGTGCACCTGGAGTCTGGTTTATGGTCTATGTGGAGGACATGCATCTTTAAGGATAAGGTCCAACATCCTCCAGGGGCAATAAGGATGGTATGGACTCTCAAGGAAGACATTCCATGGTAAAGATGATGAAATGCAAGTAAGAATTTGAAGATGTGGAGCCAGAGCCACCCCTAATGGAAGAAGAAGGCATTTGCTGTGAAATGAACGTATCTTCTTGGTACCCTCTAGAGGTGCAGGAAAGGACTTGTTTCCCTTGGTGGTTAAATCATTTAAAGGCAAGGAAACCTGGAGACTCAAGCAAAGTCCAAGTTGTAGTTAAACCAGCATAGAGGTCAGCTGTATGACTGACAAGCAACATGGCAGGAAGGGAAGCTTTATTTAAAAAGTAAGGGAGTTAGTTATAAGTACCCCGAAAAAGCACATTTCAGTCCTGGCCATCACCTGAGAGAAAGAGACAAACAGGAAGAAATAAAGCTGGCAGGAGAGGTGGCTCAGTAGTTAGCACCAAGTTCTGTTCTTCCGGAGGACTGGAATGGGCACTAGAAGCCACAACAGATAACTAACAAGCCCAGCTGTAGGTCTAGGAGGACACCACAACCTCTGTCCTCCACAGATGTCTGCATACATGTACACATCCCTCCCTCCCATATATACAGAACTAAAAACAAGTGTTGGGGCCTGGAAAGGTGGATCATGTGTTAAGAGCACTGGCTGTTCTTTCAGATAACATGAGTTTAATTCCTAGCACTCACATGATGGCTCCAGTCCCAAGGATATAACATCTCCTTTGGGCTTCTGCTGGTACCAAGCATTCAAAAGATGCATAGACAGACATTCAGGCAAAGTACCCATACAGATGTTGTTTTTATTTTAAGAAGAAGAAAAAGAAGAGGAGGAGGGGGAAGAAGAAGAAGGAAAGAAAGCAAGAAAGGAACAAGAAGGAGGAGGAGGGAAGACGAGGAGGAGGAGGAGGAGGAGGAAGAGGAGGAGGAGGAGGAGGAGAAGAAGAAGAAGAAGAAGAAGAAGAAGAAGAAGAAGAAGAAGAAGAAGAAGAAGAAGAAGAAGAAGAAGAAGAAGAAGAAGAAAACAAAAAGAAAAATGTCTCTTTGAGACAGGACTCAAAACAACCAGGTAGCCACAGCTGAACCTCATGGAGGCTCTTAGGGTTGGTGCCTGAGAGCTGAAATTCGGGGAAGGAAAAGTACATTATCTCATTAAAGGAATAATTACTCCACCCATCTCTCTAGCATGTTTTAAGGTTAACCCACCTTCCTAAGGGTGGTCCTGCCTTTTTAAGAGGTGGTCCCTTAGCCAGATGAGTGACCAGCCCCATTGGATTAAATTGTCTAAATGTTGGTTAGTTTAGAATGCTAGGCCTCCAGCCAGGCCAGGGATTTAAACTTTTTGACCAGAAAGAAATTAATTCTTGATTAGTGTGCATTTAGTGTTGCTGTGTCATTCTCAAGAGGATCTGAGTTTCAATCCCACTTCCTCTATTTCTTGGGTGGAAACTGCATGGTTTATTATAGAGAGGAGAACAATATGCTCAAAACTTCTAGAAGGACTCATAATATGTTATGGTGAAAGGAATGACAGACAAGAGAACAAGCAACTTAAGATGGTGCAGGCACTCATGTCGGGGTGGGATGGATCCTTCACAATGAAATGGATCTCTCTGAGAACTGGACCCAGCTGTCAGCTTGCCAAATGGGGTAGTTACAGGGGAGAATAGGGGGCGAGAAAGGAAGTAGAAAAATTTCCCATATTTGGTCATTGGTATGGATAATTAAGAGTGTCAGGGTAAAAAAGGAAGGCTTGGCTGAGTGAAATCTTGAGCAAATGTATATTTTGACATGGACATTGCTTGTTGAAGCCTCAGAGACTAATCAGCCCATGGTAAATTGGTAAAGTCATTATCTATATGAGCGGGGCTCAAGAATTGGCAGAGCTTTTCTTGGGAGTCTGAGTAGGAGTGTTATGGACGACTAATCAGTGCTTGCAAAGACTAAGGTCTGCAGCTTCCTCCTCCTGGGTGTCACGAGCCTGAGATTACTCACTTACAGAGTCTTTCCACCAAGACTAGCTAGCACCTTCTCCCATACTCTAGCTAACCAACAGACCGAGGTTACCGATAACTGAGCCCAGTTTTACTGTGTGTGTGTGTGTGTGTGTGTGATTTCTTCAATCCCTGTCCATCCCTAGTCAGGGCTCCAGAACCTCAGCACAAAGAGCAGTCAGTTAAAGAACGTCAGGCAATCAACAAACATCTTCCCTGGCAGGCCACCGCCTGAAATCCACCACTGTATTTCAGGAGCTGTCATCAGCCAAAATGAAGGAGTCTACAAAATGGTGTGACTCTGGCTAACAGAAAGAAGCTACTAGTGTTAACACTCATGAAACGATGACGTTTCAAACTGCACAAAAGTGGGAGCCCAAAGATATGCAAGAGCATGGTGAGAGGACAGACACTGGCAAGGTCAAGATGGATTTGTTCCCCTGAGTGCAATGTATTCTGTTCCCAGTGATCATAAGGTTTGCTCTTCTATATGTGTGTGTGTGGGTACTGTTTTCTTCTTTACCTTTTATTTTCTTTGCTTTGCCCACTGCTGTGGCATAAGGAGAAGGTTTGGGTGTCCAGTGAACAAGAGATGGGCCTTTGGTGGTTAAGCCTTACTATTGACTTCATTCAATGAGGAAACATCCAGGAGATTAGTAAAACTAGACTGTCCATGGGGGTGAGTGTATTTCCAGAGTATGAATTGGGTTGGGGGAAGGAGTCATTCCTGAATGTGGGTGGCACCATCTATAGGTGGGGTGAGGGGGTACTGGTGGTGGGGGATGGGAATGTAGGGGTTTATCCACATAGGATAAAGGTAAAAGGAAGAACCTGTGAGCACAGGCATTCCCTTTCTGCTGCCCTGCATCCAGGAAGGGAATCGCTCTGCTGTTGCAAAAGGCCTGCTCCCATGATGGGCTGAAAGAAATGCCCAAAGGTTTAAAGCAGGATACATTTTCTGCCTAAGTTACTCATGTCAGGTCTATTGTTACAGTGAATAGAAGAACTAACTGGATATTTTGAGATTGTAATATAAATACATTTCTCCTTTTCCTTTCCTCCCTCCAAACCCTCCCATATGCCCTCCCCTCCCTTCTGTCCACAAAATTCATGGCCTCATTTCTCATGAATTCTAACTGTGCATTTTGACAGGTTTTCTGACTTTAAAGGCAGGACATAAAATTCAGTCCTCTTACTTTGTGATTGCCCACATCTTCCAATGTTATTTAAAAAATATTTTTAAAATCCATGTATTTATTTAATAAAGCAAGGTGCAAGCACTTTACTACTGTGGTTCCTAGTCTGTGGAGACTCTAAGAGACCACCAGGGAGATGGACTCACCGAAATGCAAAAGCAAGGTTCATTGTCTGCACAATACAAGCTGGCAGGGACCTCATCAAAGCCAAAGGCACAACAGCGGCAAGAGGAGGTGCCTCTCCCTTCTAGAGGGCGTTATTTAAAGGTAAAAACCAGAAAAGTTACATTAGCAGAGTGTGGGGTGACAGGTTCAATACGGATTGGCTCATGTCTAGGGACTTTTCAGAAATTTTATTTTCGAATTTTGCCTGTTGCTTGTCAAGTTTTCTTATTGGCTGACCAATGATGGGGGCATTCTGCGGTTATGTGTACTTTCCAGATGGCTACCCTGTTATTTTAGACCTAGCCATTTCTGAGGACTGGAATGTTTTATGGGAAATAGTTTACACAAGACACAAGATGGGGGCAGAGAACAAAATGGAGGAACTTTGGTTCTTCATTCCCCCTTGTTGTATTAACTATAGTAACCCCAATCATGGGTTCCTGACAGTTAACTTAGTTCTTCAGTCCTGAGGGGTCTGTAGATTTGTGATCTCTGGACCATAAGTTGTATTGTACTCAGCCTGCCTTTCATGAATTTACTAGCTGGTTAAGAATGCAAGGCCCAAAAGTCAGTAGCCAAAGCAGAATTACCAGGGGGTCCCAATAGAGTAGAGATGAGAGTGATCAACCAAGGGGAGCTATTAAACCAGGTCTCTAACCAACCCTGCCTGGCCTCGCCTTTTCTTTTCCACTTTCCCAGCCCTTCTCTAACTCTAGCCATGTTGTCTTTGATTATTCCCGAATGATCAGTGAAGAAACAACATTCTTCCCCTAGCGCTGCACAGAGCCTGTAAGAAGCTGCTGTAAGAAGAAGATCTAATCCCCTTCTGTTCTGCAAGACTACCTCTGCCAAGAAGGATAAGGACTCCTCTAGGTGGGAGATGGATTTTTCTATGTGTTCTATAGCCACATCTATGGCAACACATAGGGTGGAGTAATATTGATTCTGAGTTACTAGTGCTGAGATTCCCAGACCCAAACCTCCCAGGCTAGCACCTAAAAGTAGGCTAAGAGTTAGGGCTGTCATAGACTCTCTCTTATGTCTCCATAGCTGTGAGGGCTGGCTCTATCCTTGCTGCACGAGGTCTAGGAACTCCTGATCAGTGTGATAGATTATTCTCGGAAGGAGCCTGACTAGTACACAATATCCCCTGGTCTGGTTTAAGACTTTTATATGCACTCAAAGGGGTAAACCCCATTGAGCAGGACCTCCAAGTGTGTTTGTGTGGGAGCAAGTACTGATCCTGTGTGAAATTGTGGGTAGACAGTGAAGAATTACAGATGGGGGCTTTATCTTGGGGAACCTGTCCTATACATAGTCCCTGCCCAATCACTTGTTCTAGGGAAAGGCCTTGTCTGCTCTATTGCCACCGGCAGTGATTGATGTCAGCCATCGTGGAAACAGTGACACTAACTGCGAGGTCCTCATAGTAAGGTGGAGCTAGCTATACCATAACAGAGGCAGCAAGCTTTGGTCAAATTCGGTTGGGAAGCATTCAGTACCTGGTATGATCTACCCAGCAGATCTAGTAACGGGTGCTCATGTCCCATCAATGGGTTCATGGTTGACATGATTATGAGGCTAGAGCTGACATTCGCCTGAGTTGGTTGTGGAGTCATTCCCCATGGATGGAACTTGGGGTGATGGACTGGAGGCCTGAGGTGGATTAATGACCCAGCCGGGTCTTGTTGAAACCTTAATGGCAGGTGACTGGGCTTTGCGGATGGTGAATGTCAGTACTGGGTTATAGCCAGTGCAGTAGAGCCATAGGCCCCAGGTCTTACCAGTGGTCCAGTCAGCCGTTTTGCCTGCCTCAGTGAATTTGATGACAAGCTGGTGGCAGTGCCCTCCAACAGTTGCCCAAGGGTGGTTGGGATAGCTCTCCTTATCATAGAGTGCACAGTCAACTTGTTTACAGCCTACGGAGCAAGTTCCTATCCCTGCTGTCTTCATACTCCCTGCCTGATGGACAGTAATTAAATCACCAGAGACAGGGGTGACAGCTAATCCACTGGGTAAACTCACATTCCCGTTTGGCACAGTAGGCGTCTCTTGCATCCCCCGCAAAGTACGTTGTTGCTCCTTGGAGTGAGAGTGGCCAGGACAGACACAGAATCCCAAGGATTGAGTTGATCCCCTCCATCCAGGGGTTTTACATCTGTACTTGGGGAATGGTTCCTGGTCTTAGGGGTCCTACCTTTCTCCTACCAGGTCACAAAGGTCTACATAGAGGTCATGTGATGTGGGAGTGATTTCTTATTAATAAAGAAACTGCCTAGGCCCATTTGATAGGCCAACCCTTAGGTAGGCGGAGAAAACAGAACAGGATGCTGGGAGAAAGAAGCTGAGTAAGGAGTCGCCATGATTCTCCCATTCCAGATAGACACAGGTTAAGATCTTCTCTGGTAAGCCACCTTGTGGGCTACACAGATTATTAGAAATGGGTTAGATTAATATGTAAGAGCTAGCCAGTAAGAGGGTACAGATAACGGGCCAGGC